TGCTGTTTACTGTCATTCTATAGATATGAGGATGAAAATGGTCCACAGGATTCCTGATGTCGTCTCAGTAAAACAGTCATAGAAATGCTTCCTCACTGTTGACAGCACAATTTAACATGAAGCACAGAATTCCAGTGAAATAGACATGAGAGAGATGAGAGCTTTCTGTTTGTCATAAACAGCAAAATGGTCACCCAATGTTCTTGGGGGAAGAGGCTGGGCCTGTATTTGACTTAAATCACACCCTGACACTGAAAACCCTCAAAGTAACTGAGGGATAGACATTTATAAAATACATTCCACGTCTTTGGTGTGTCTCAAACTAGTTAACAGGGAATGGTAATGTCCTCAGTGAGATTGATGGAAAGGGAAAGCTGACTTCAGAGACAGAGCAAGAGTTACAGGCACAGATACAGAGCCAGAGACACACAGATACAGGGTGAGAATGTCCTGCCAATGTTCTGAGCTGAATCTGAGACACACACAACATGTACAGCAGCAGATGGGAGTGAATCATTCTCTGTTACCTCCAGTGCACTGGACATTATCTCTACTAATGGCTGAGATGATGGGATCCTGTGTTACGTTTGCTGAACACACAAAGTTATGTGGAACAGTAAAATGCACGGAGGACAGAGAAAGGCTAGAAAGGAGGTTGGACACATTGAGTGAGTGAGTGAGTGAGTAAGAAATAGGCTGTGCATCATGAAGAGAAATGTGAAGCTTTGTTTCCTCATTTTAATCTCGAAAGTGTTTCAGAGTATTGTTCGATTTTTATACAATCATCCTCATCCTAGACCCAGAAACAGCAATTTTCATGTTTGTCTCAAAAACTTTCATGACCTCCGATCGTAACCTTCAGGGACACATCCCTGGGTTTGTCTCATTTCATTCCCTTGCCATTTGAAACCTTGCTGTCCAGCTAGCTTTCTGGTGAATCTACGCTGCACACAGATACACACGGACTCCCAAATCCCCACTCTTTCTTGCTTTTCCCTGTTTATAAAGTCAATGTCAGTGCTGTGCTAACGTGAAATGGCTGCTGTGAACAAACCTAAAATGGCCGACTGACTGACACCTTCAGAATCATTCGTCTGTGCTTTGCAGATTAAAATGCACGTCACACTTTGCATATTATCATCTCTCAGCCTCCTGCAGATGAAACACAGTGACATTTGAACCGATGTCTTTTGGATGTTAGACTGAAGAGGGACATTATAAACTAAATGGTACAATGTTAAACTGGGTGGAGGAACAGCACTGTCAGATTTGGGAGCTTTACGGAGGTAGGAAATGTAGAGGGCTCATTGGAGTTGATTAAAATGCAAATTCCAGAAGCTGTTTACAGTACATGCCTGAGACAATGTCACATTTCAGCAATGTCTGTCTTACTTTCCAAGCTTCAAACATCTGAAAGTTTTGAAAATACAAAAACTAAATGTCAGCTCAGTCACTGAATTGTAGGTGTGAGGCCTTGTTCAGAATCTGTCACAGAGTTTGAATCCTGTGTGGCTCGGCCCCATCCCAAAATCAAGTGTTTATCAAATACCACACTGCCCTGCTGTGAGTTCAAATTGTGTGTTGACTGCAAATAAAAGAAAACAATCTGTGTGCAATTAAACAAAGCTATAGGATGGAACTTTGTGTGACTGTTGGTTTCATTGTCGTTACACAGTTCTGAAGATGAATGAGACAGTGCGAGATAGGCAGCATTGTAACCAGTACGGTAGTGACGTTATAGAAGTATGTTAATATCTTCAGTGAATGGGGAAAACAGAGGACGGTGTTCAATATCCGCAAGTGGGGAGTCACCAGAATATATAGTTAATGACTTAAACACAAAAGATTATATAAGTTTGGCATTGTCAATCTGGTAAAATCTGGTAAAACATCATTTGTCCTTCTAACTGTTGACTGAACAAGCATGTTAACTTCCTGTGTGGCTCGGCTCGGCTCGGCTACCCTGAGGTTTTAGGGTTAACAATCATGTCATGTTTTGATTGGTCAGTGTTTAGTGTGTGCACACAGGCAGTCACCAGCTCGTAGTGCTGTTTACCCAGGAACATTGAAGGGTGTAAATGTTCTGGCTTCTGCCTCATAATTGACTCAAACACAGGTCAACATCACAGGAGCAGGAGGAGGCTATTCAGACCTTTCTTGAGCCTGTTATACAGGACCATGAGGCCATTCAGCCCCCTCCTCAAGGCTATTACACAGGAACAGGAGGAGGCCCCATTCAGCCCCCTTCCTGATCCTGTTACACAGGAACAGGAGGCCAATCAGCCCTCCCATTCAAACCTGTTACTCAGGAAATGGAGGAGGCTATTAAGCCTCTTGTGCCTGTTCATGATCACTTTTTTCAATGTGGGATCTTGCTGTGCAGAAACTGGCTGCTCTGAATGAATTGAGAAGGAGCGGTACAGAGAAAGTCTCAAAAAGTGTCAAGAAAAAATAGAGTAAGAGCCAAAAGGATTCAAGGAGCAACACACATTGATGAAGAAGCAAAGGAAGAGAAAGATATGGAGACAAAGAAAGAGAATGGAACACAGCAAGAGTGAAAAAGAAAGATAGACAGAAGAAGAGAGAAAGAGGCAGAGATAAAGTGGGAGACAAAGTCAGAGAGAATGATAAAAGAAGCAAGGAATGAGAGCAGAATGAATGCAAAGTACAATACAGAGAGAGAGGCAGAGAGAGAAAAGAGATGGAGAGGGGGAAATGAAACAGATAGCGAAAGAGTGAGAAAGAAAAATACAGAGAGAGACAGCCACAGAAAGAGAGAAACAGAAACAAATGCGGAGAGAAAGTGGACAGCACTAGTGAAAGAGAGAGGCCCAGATCGATAGGCAGAGAGAGGAAGAAGGAGCCAGAATCAGAAACAAAGAGATAAAGAGAGAGTCAGCAAAGCAGAGGCAGAGAAAGAAAGTGACATGGGAACAGTGAGACAGAGAGAGAAAGAGAGACAGTGACAGTGGGGAAGAGATAGAGGCAGAGAAAGAGTGAGTGAGACAGAGAGAGAAAAAGGAAAAAAGGAGATTGAGGAGAAAGGGAGACATAGGCAGGATTGGTAGAGAAGGTGAGAGAGAGGGAGAGAGGAGACAGAGAATGGAGTGAAAGACAGAGTCCTGTTCCTCTGCTTTGAGACCCAGCCCTGCAGGCTAGTTTAAAGATTTAGTGAGTGTCCAGTCTAATGGACACTAACTGAAATGTTGACCCCATACTTCATTCTACTCCTGTCAGCAAGGCCAAAGAGAGCACTATTCTCTTATTAAAACTGAAAGAACTGCAGATGCTGTAAATCACAAACAAAAACAGAAATTGCTGGAAAAGCTCAGCACGTCTGGCAGCATCTGTGGAGAAAAAGCAAAGTTACTGTTTTGGGTCAAGTGACCCTTCCTCAGAACTGATGAATGAACATGACCCAATGAGCATAGGCATGGTGGAACAATAACCTGTGTAACAGATTTGATGGGCTGAATGGCCTTCTGCTGCTCGTGTGTATGTTGCAAGGACTGGAGGGTTTGAGTAAAAAGGAAAGGCTGGGACTTTTTTAACTGGAGTGTACGAGCTTGATGGTTCAGCTTATATCATTATAAAATCATGAGGGATATAGAAAAGGTGAAAAGCAAGTTTCTTTTCTCAAGGGTTCAGGATTCCAAGAACAGGAGGCATATTTAAAAGGTGAGAGGAGAAAGACTTTAAGAAATGATGAGGGGCAACTTTTTCACAGAGTGCAGTATTGATAATGCGGCGCACCCTCAGCACTGACCCTCCGACAGTGCGGCACTCCCTCAGCACTGACCCTCAGACAGTGCGGCACTCCCTCAGCACTGATACTCAACAGTGTGGTGCTCCCTCAGTACTGAGCATCCGACAGTGCGGCGCTCCCTCAGCACTGAGCCTCTGATTTGCAAGTGGAGTACTGCGCTGGAACATAGGTTGAGTTTCCATTATGGAAAATTGAACCCCTGTCCTGTTAACCCCGAGGTGAGAGAGGGAATATGGAGCATAGGTAACAACCTCAGGTCTGAAAAACCAACAGAATTGAATGAGGAATGTAGAAAATGTGAAAATTCAGATCTTGTGGGAAAGGCCACTGGAGCAGCAGGGGGCCATTCACCCTGTATATACCACTACCCCATTTAAGTTTTGGTTAATCCTCTTCCTCAAAGCCATTTTCCTGCCTTCTCTGTGTAACCCTTGATATCTTCAACATCTCTCTCTCGTACCTACTCAATGGCTGAGCTTCCATTGCCTTCTGGGACAGAAAAAGTTTGTGAGATTCATCTCCCTCTGCGTGAGGAAATTCCTCTTCATCTCAGTCCCAATTGGCCTGGCTGTTACCTTGAAACTGTGTCCCTGGATTCTTTGCACCAACCCCCACCCTCTCCCCATCCAGGGGGAACATCCTTCCAGTATCACCCCTGCCAAGCCCTGGGTGAATATTCCTGGCTGGGGAGCACCTTGCTGTCAGGCGACTTCCCCACACATCGACATTGGCTGGATTTGTGTTTCCTCTGTTGGACGGGCATGGTCCTGCAATTTTGTGAATGGGCAAGAAGTACAGTGTTCTGCTCAAAAAGGTTCTGGCTTCAGCTTTGAAGGAATGTCTGAAAGGAAATGAGACAGAGAGATGGAGAGAGGGGAAAAGGTTTCAGCAGATGACTTGGAAGTGAGTAGTTGTGAAATATCTCCTTTATTTGTGAACATTGCTAAATGTGTTGACTCTATTTCAATTCCTTTACATATCATTCCAATTTATGAGTAATGATGTGTGTGTGTGTGTGTGTGTGTGTGTGTGTTTACAATTGGACCTACTCTGATTTCAACATCACACAATTGGATGTGGAATGGGGAGGTCCCAATTCCTTGAAAAGATCCCTGACTTGTTTGCTCAAACATCGAGGTGTCCCTGAACCTCTCCAGAGCAGGGGTATAAATGAGATCACACAAACCAAAGCCACATCACAGAAAAGCTCAAAGATCGGACAAGACAAGTCGAGATGGGCAGTGGTCAGATGAAAACTCGACTGGTCCTGGTCACTCTGATGCTGCTGGTCTTCACTGAGATGAGCCAGTGCCTCACAATGTCCAAGGTGAGCAAAGATACATCTCTCCCTGTTGGTGCATTTATAATGTTGATAACTGAATAAATCACCCTGAAAGACGAGCTGCTAGGCAACAGGATTTTATGTGTTCATAATTTAAAACTTGTCTCTGAGTGGAATTGGTGTGTTAATCTTCTGTTTGTTTCCTTGTTTTGTCTCCTTTATATTTTCACCCTTCAAATCCCCCATCTTCAAATCCCCCAAAGGGGTGGCAATGGCCTAGTGGTATTATCACAGCACTGTTAATCCAGACACTCAGGTAATATCCAGGGGACGTTGGTTTGAATCCCGCCATGGCAGATGGTGGAATTTGAATTCAATAAATATCTGGAATTCAGAATCTAATGATGACCATGAACCCATTGTTGATTGAACCCATATGGTTCACTAGTGTCCTTTAGGGAAGGAAGTTACCATCCTTACCTGGTCTGGCCTACATGTGACTCCAGACCAACAGCAATGTGGTTGACTCTTAACTGCCCTCTGGGCAATTAGGAATGGGCAATAAATGCTGCCAGGCCAGCAACACCCTCATCCCATGAATGAATAAAGAAAAAAAAATCTCTCCTCCCTCCTCCAGCCCCTACACCCCTCACTATCTCTGTAACCCTTTTCAAGCCCCTACAACCCCTCCCTATCTCTGTAACCTACTCTAGCTCTGACATATTGGTCCCTAAAATGTTCTTGACCTTTCTTTCTCCTGGGACTGCTTTTGTCTTTCAGCTCTCAGTCTGCCACAATGTGTGTTGATAATTTCTCTCCTGTTACAGATTGAGAATGAGCAAGATTCCCTGACAACTGAGAATTCCCAAGCCTGTCAGGGTGAGGTAAGTTGACAGCAATTCTGTATTTTCAACTGCCTCCCTGCCTGCTTTTTCTGCAGGAAGTGTCTCATTTTCCATCCATGTGCAGTTCGCAGAAGCAGGCCATTCAGCCCATCAAATCTGCTCCAGCATTCATTGATATCATGGCGGATTTGATTATCCTCAAATTCACTTTCCTGACTTTTCCCTTCCTGATTAAAAATCTACCTCAGCCTTAAATATACTTAATGCCCCAGCCTCGACATTCTTCTGTGGTAAACAATTTCACAGATTGACAATCCTCTGAGAGAAGAAATTCCTCCTCATCTGTCTGAGATGGGCAGCCCATTCTTCTGAGATTTTGGCTGAGATTCTCCTGCAAAGGGATACATCCTCTCCACATCTATCCTGTCAAGTCTGCTAATAATCTTCTATTTTTAATAAGGTCACCTCCCATTCTTCTATATTCCAACTAGTACAAGACCAATCAACTCAACCACTCCTCAAAATACAGTCCCCCCAATATGAGCCGAATAAATCTTTTGTGGACTTCCTCCAATGGCAGTGTCTCTATGCTAAGATAAGTCATTCAAAACTGCTTCCAATACACGAGCTGTGGCCTGACTCGAACCGTACATAGTTTGAGCAAAACCTCCCTATTTTGTACTACATTCAGTTTTGAAACAAACACCAACATTTCATTTGACTTCACTATTTGACAAGTGGCCCAAACCTGTCACAAACTGTTAGTGCTGAGCGAGCACCGCACTGTCAGAGGGTCAGTGCTGAGGGAGTGCTGCATGGTCGGAGGTTCAGTGCTGAGGGAGCGCTGCACTGTTGGACGGTCAATGCTCAGGGAGTGCCGTGCTGTCGGATTGTCAGTATTGATTAATAACATACGATCCGGGGGTTCTCAATTTGTGGGAGCTTGCTGTGTGCAAATTGGCATCTTTGTTTCCTACATTAACAACAATAAAACGAAATTTTCTGTCAGCTGTGAAGTTTCGTTCGGTGATGAAAGTTGCTGAAGATTTGTGGGCTCTCCCTGCCAGTGAATGACATTGCACAATTGATGTAGTGTCAAAGGGAGCAGGAGCCATTTTCTTTCTGGAACATTCTGTCGGTTTGGTCTCCATCTTTTCCAGGCTTCCATGTTGCTGCGACAGAAACGAATGAGTCAAGTCAAGAAATGCAGATTCTGCTGTAATTGCTGTAATATGCAGGGTTGTGGAATATGCTGCAATTTTAAAACCCTGGCCCCTCAGTTACAAAGGCCTCACTGTCCTTATCTGTTGTTTGGGATCCATTTAATGCAGCTGCTTCTCACCAATTCCCACTAAAGTTCTGCATTTTATGCTGCAGGGAAATGTCATTTGGCCTCTCTGCTCTGTACCGGCTCCACACTGACCTCCTCCTACCATCATCTCTCCCCCTCCATCAGCTTCTCCTTCTCTCCCTCACGTATTTATCAAGTTTCCCTGTCCCCAAAATATCGACTCAATGCACCTCGACCTCTCCCTGTGTGACTTGCTCCCACATTTCTCCCCACCACTCTCCAGGGAGCGAGTCTCACATTGTTCCCAACTCCATCAACCACCACCAACACCCCATGGGAGCCAGTCTCACATTCCCTCCCCACTACCCGTGGGAGTGAGCCCCATATCCTCTGCCCCTCCCCCAATTCCCCGTGGGAGTGTGTCCCATATCCACCTCCCCCCCAACTCCCTGTGAGAACAAGTTCCACATTCCCCACCCCCGACAGGTGCGGGTCCCACATTCCCCGCCCCCACTCCCTGTGGGAGTGTGTCCCACATTCTCCTTTCCCCCAACCCTCCGTGGGAGCAAGTCTCAGATTGCCTTGTGTCATTTAATTGCCTAATACTGAAGTTGATGACAAGCAGGTCCCTGCTGTATGCTCTTGGGCACAAACTCAGCCCTCCAAAGTGTTCATCTTGGCAGGACTACAGTTGTAAATATTGTGCTTTGTAAAACAAAATGAATAAACCACGATTATCTTCAGAAAATAGCTGACTTGGTATTTCATTTGGTTGGTCTCTCACTCCATTGTCACCCTGACGTCAGGAAATAACTGTCTTCATTCCTCTGGAGAGCTGAATAAATTCAAGGACTTGGTTTCCTTTGTTCAATGAGTTGCCCTGACATTTGTTACAAACATCACCAACAGCACTTCACACAGCCAACAGCCATTTGCTCATGCACAGGTTAGGTG